GTTGGGATTGATTTTGGGGGTTATGGTACCAACAGTTAAGGAATTAGGGGCCAAAAATAAGCATTTTTGTAACTTCCAGACATAACTTGTGTGTTAGTGTAGGGATCTCTCTGACATTGTACCACAAGGTTCCATATCACAAAGGGAATGCTGGGATTGATTTTGGGGGTAATTGCCTCAAAAGTTTAGGAATTAGGGGCCAAAAAAGGGGCAAAAAACAAGCATTTTTCTAGTTTCATGATAATAACTTGTGTTCAAGTGTATCGATCTTTCTGAAATTGAACTACAAGGTTCCATATCACAAAGGGAAAGCTGGAATTGAGTTTGGGGGTAATTGCCCAAAACGTTTAGGGATAAGGGGCCAAAAAGGGGCTAAAAATAGCATTTTTCTAGTTTCCAGACAATAACTTGTGTTCAAGGGTATGGATCTCTCTGAAATTGTACTGCAAGGTACTATACCACAAAGGGAAGGCTGGGATTGATTTTGGGGGTAATTGCCTCAAAATTTTAGGAGTAGGGGCCAAAAAGGGGCAAAAAACAAGCATTTTTCTAGTTTCAGGACAATAACTTGTGTTTAAGTGTATGGATCTTTATGAAATTGTACTACAAGGTTCCATATCTCAAAAGGAAAGCTGGGTTTGAGTTTGGGGGTAAATGCCCTAAACGTTTAGGAATTTGGGGCCAAAAAGGGGCCTAAAAACAAGCATTTTTCTAGTTTCCAGACAATAACTTGTGTTCAAGTGTATGGATCTCTCTGAAATTGTACTGCAAGGTACCATACCACAAAGAGAAGGCTGGGATTGATTTTGGGGGTAATTGCCTCAAAATTTTAGGAATTAGGGGCCAAAAAGGGGAAAAAAACGAGCATTTTTCTAGTTTCAGGACAATAACTTGTGTGTAAGTGTATGGATCTTTATGAAATTGTACTACAAGGTTCCATATCTCAAAAGGAAAGCTGGGTTTGAGTTTGGGGGTAATTGCCTTAAACGTTTAGGAATTTGGGGCCAAAAAGGGGCCTAAAAACAAGCATTTTTCTAGTTTCCAGACAATAACTTGTGTTCAAGTGTATGGATCTCTCTGAAATTGTACTGCAAGGTACCATACCACAAAGGGAAGGCTGGGATTGAGTTTGGGGGTGATGAATCATAAGGGGGTTCAAAAAATTTAGGGGAGGTATTTTTTTTTTCTTTAAAATTTTCCATTTTAAATTGTTTATTTCTGATTTATATATATATAAAAGCAAACAATAATAATATGGGTTGACTAGGTAAATTTAAAATTTTTAAGTTCTTAGACCACATTCATTCTGTGTCAGAAACCTATGCTGTGTCAAATATTTAATCACAATCCAAATTCAGTGCTGTATCAAGCTTGAATGTTGTGTCCATACTTGCCCCAACTGTTCAGGGTTCGACCTCTGCGGTCGTATCAAGCTGCGCCCAGCGGAGCATTTTATTATGGCTTATTTTTACCATACCTTGCAATTCAGCCAAAAAAAATAACCAAAATTTTGTCTGGTATTTAACAATTCAAATCGGTAAGGAAAGTGTTAATACACATGTATACTTTTGGGGACAAAAGTTGCTTGCTTGAAACTTTGTTCATAATTCTTTCCAGTAGAAAAATTTGCAAATGAAATAACAACCAATCACTGATAGCAAGCTTTTTTTTATCTCTTTGTTATGTTGCTGTCACAAATGGCTGCACCTATATTGCTATATTTAGTACATTGTTCCCTTGAATGACCACCAATGAAGTTTAATACAGAGCCATTTCTGTTGCTAGTTTGTCTTGCATATATGCATGAAATATTTGCCACTGGCCAGTCTGAGTGTTAATCAATCTTCAGTAGAGATTAAGTTTCCCTTGTTATAGTTGTTACCCTTTATGTACCCCGTGTTAAGTATAAAATCATTTGTGTAATTTTCACTCTATAAAGACCTGATATGTAACAGCTGAAAAAAAAACTGTATTTTCTTCATGAGAGAATGTAGTACTGTTGCTAACAAGATTTTATTTTCTTTGTAAGGAAATTTCATTATTATATGAAGTTCATTTTTCATATATTCTCAATCTATTGATTTTATTTTTGATCTTTTCTATCCTTTAAAAGCCTAGATGTTCATACTGCATGAAAATTTGATTACATTTTAATATACAATTTTGATGACATGGTGAATTTGTTTCCTCTAACTACATTTAAGTGACATTTTGTTGGTAGTTTAGTGTCCATATTTTTTTTGTTATTGAAAAAAAAATTATAATTCTTGTCTGCAGAAGTAAGGATAAATTTAGTGTAGTTTGTGTGAAAGAATTTTTTTTCTGTTTTGTATTATTGAAGATTTTTTCTATAATTATCTAAACACATTTTAAAGTAATCTGAAAATGGTCAGTCATTAATAAATCTTTTAATTTTTTTTCTATCTGAATAGACTTATTGCTCATTTTGCCGTTTTGGGCCAGTGTAAGCTTTTGCCATCACTCGTCAGTTGTAACCATTGTCCTCTAATTTTTACATAAAAAATCTTCTCTGAAACTACAGGGCAAAATTGAACCAAATTTGGCCACAACCATCCTTGGGGTATTTGGCCTCAACCATCCTTGGGGTATTTAGTTTAAAAACATTTCTAATGATCATGCTGGTCAACCACATGGATAGAGAAGAAAAAAAGCGATAAGCAAGAAAAGATCTAGAAATGAAATGCTTAGATCTTTATAGGTGTTATATTGCTCTGTAATGATGACTTTTTACAACTAAACTTTAGTAAATAAATAAAGAAAAGATCTACAAATAAGTCAACATAGCTGAAAATTGTCAGTAGACTCCTTACAAGAGTTTAGCCCTTAAATGACAATGTTTACCCTTTTTTACATTCTGATAAATAAGTAAAAACTATAGTTGATAGAGAGGAACTGTAAACAGAAAAAATTTGTAAGGGTTCCACGGAACCCAGTGTCTCGCCTACTTTTGCTGTTAAGCAAAGGCTCAACAAAAATGAGGTAAAAAAATAATAACAATATTCCTTTTGATTGTAAGAAGCTTCTGTCCAAGTTTGGTAAAAATCCAGGATAGTTTATGAATCTAATAAATGTTTTAAATCTTTAACTGCAGACTGTATGTAATGTTAACTGGAAGAAAACTAAGTCCATTTATAAGTAAAATACGGATAAACAGATACAAAATTTTAACAAAATTTCCTTCAAGATACTTGCTTTTGATCATAAACAAGCTTCTGACCAAGTTTGGTACAAATCCAGGATAGTTTAAGAAAGTTATTAAAATTTTAACTTTAACCACAGAGTGAATGCAATGTTTCCTGGCAGAAAAACTAAGTCCATTTATTAGTAAAATACAGAAAAACAGGATATTTTTTTTTACAAAATTTACTCCTGGATACTATCTTATGATCATAAACAAGCTTCTGTCCAAGTTTGGTAGAAATCCAGGATAGTTTAAGAAAGTTATTAAAATTTCAAAAACTTTAACCACAGAGTGAATATTTGTGGACGCCGCCGACGGAATGTAGGATCGCTATGTCTCGCTTTTTCGACAAAAGTCGAAGGCTCGACAAAAATGATCAGCAACACTAGATACAAAAAAGAGATTTTAGTCATGAATTATGTTCTGGTCTATACTGTTGGAGAGTGACCATTGTTTAAGATACACGATGATACATACAGTTGAGCAACGCAGGCTCTTTAGATAATTTTGCCTCAGAACAGTACATCTTAGATCATTTGTGCAACATAAAATTAACAGCAGGTGTCTTCTGTGAACTTTATTATTTGACAAGAGAATGGAAATGAGATAGATGCATGTGAGAATACATATCAAATGAAGAGAATATGGGTTGTAGTTCTGCATCTGTAGGATTTCTAGTCTTTCAACACACATTAAAAATCCACCAGAAATATATGGCTTCTTTAACAATACACCTTATCGCTATTTGTCCGCCATTACTGGACATCACAAAGGTTCCCATAAAATTTTGACGTCACAATAGAAAATATCTGACGCCACAATAGAAAAGTGATTGTTGTATGACGTCAATAGTTCAAGCGGAGCAGATCCTCGGGTCAACCGGTGCAGATTTCCAAAGAGCGATAAGGTCTATTTGTCAGATGAACCTACATATGCCTTTTGAAGGTAACATTTGTAGTGGAAACTCTACTTGATATAAGTGAGACAACTTGAAGGCAATGTCATCTGCTGCATGAAAACATAGGTACACTGAGAACATTACATAAGCTGTCCACTAACAACATGTTTGTTAAATAGTAGAAAGAAAAAAATAAGAAAATTGGGACAACAAAACTTATTTGACTTCTTCGATTTTGTAAAAACAGTAACTTTAATGAGAAGTTTTAAGAGAAGTTATTTTTTTAACTCACATTGCATAACATAAATGTTTAGATAATTTTTTGGGGAAGTTAAAGTGATCAAAGATATTCGTTTGAAGCATCAAAATTCTTAGTTCACCAAACTTTAAAAACAGAAATCTATATCATGTAACTTTGAACCTTAAAAAAAATTACAAAATGTTCAAATCAGATAACCATAATTGATTTCTGAAAAAAAATTTTGTTTATATTTTTACTTGTACTGTTTCAATATATCATGTCCAGATTCTGATGATAAATAATTTACATATTTTGCTGAAGTATCTTTTTTTTATTAATTTAGTGACAATCAATTTCCTGAGTTGGAATGACAAATGAATACTTAAAGTCGTAATCATAAAGTTATTAAGTTTGAATTTTTCATCCTTTGTATAGTATTGACATTTATATTTGACCAAGGATTATTTCTCTTCATGTTGTCAATACAACTAACTATATATGATTGTTAAATGACTGATTTTCATGGTTCCAGTTTCCCAGGAGATGGCTTGGGTTCGGATAAGAAATGAATTAAAGCCAAACTCTGTCAATTTTATATGCACGTTTTATACCTCTAATCCCTTTTCATAATTATGGCTAGGTTTCATAAAAAATTTAAAGCAGGGAAAATGTTGATTTGCACAAAGCCAACTGGATATTTAAATGTTTGAGAGTTAATAATACATGAAGCAATACGAGAACGAGTGCATCAGTGAAAAAGGTAATTTCAATTTCATTTCAAATGTATGAAATTCAGTCTTGGTTGAGAGATTTTGCTTGGGAACTGTAGACTATTTGTGGACACGGTTGACTAGATCTTTGGATAACAGAAGTTAGGATGAATCACTGATTGATCGTCATTTAGAGGACCAGGAGACATATTTCACTTGTCACCTCTGAGGAGTCGTACCCTCAGATCACCCATGTCATACCTTAACTTGTAATGGAAACCAATTACTACAGTTAACACCAAACATTACCGTTTATTTTACTAATAGTTAGTTATTAATGCTTCTGCTTTTTAACGGCCACAAGTGAAAAAAAAAAAAAAGAAAATTAGTGATAATCTTCTGTATAACGACAGGAAATTGTCCACAGCCGTGCATGAATGAAAAAAGTGAGGAATATTGAACATATTATTAGAAAGCTGACACACACGCATTCACCTGATCTATATTGAACTGTGACAGTGTATAATTGTGTAGCGTAGTTCCTCGTCAGTCTGGATCAATTCAGTACTATTGCTGCTTTACAGCTAGCCTCGGCCTCCTCATTAACACCTGTTCCTCGGATAAAACCCGTTGTTAATCTTAGGAGGTTCGCCGGCAATAACGTCAGGATGCACCCGTACCAATATTACGTCCAGTATGTTCCAATGCCTATAAAACAGTCAGATTTAATGGTAAGAAAATACTTTATTATTAACTCTTTGGCACTTGTAATATTTTTTTTTTATAATATTTTTCTGAAATTTTTTACTTGCTTTTTCAGATAGAATAAAGTAAATTTTGAATTATTTGAATTATTTATTAATTTTTATTGGTGAAAATAGATTTTTAGGCAAAGGTATAATTTGTTTTATAAGGAATTGTATCTTAAGTATAAACACTTTGGATCATTAATAAACCAATTGATATATTTTGAAAGTAGTTTTATTTTGTTACTCCTTATAATATGTGGCTAACTATTTATTTTTACATATAAACTAAGTTACAGTAATTTCTTAAGTCTTTTTACCATCTGATGTAATATGGGACGTTGATTGTAGGACTTTTCTAAAAGTTTTTTTTTATAAGGTTTATAAGTGTTTCAAAAATTAACCATATTTGTGATAAAAATCTCTTAGTAACCAATTATACCAGAATTACGCAATTTAAATATGGTTTTATAACACTGCCAATAAGAAGTTCAATTTCTTTTGGATTAGCTCAAATGATTTAAATTTAAATTTGTTTTTGATTTAATCAATTGGAAAAGAAAAAAAATTTCAATGATATGAATAAAGTTTTAAGATTTCTGACCTATGATTACATCACAGTGCAATTAAATTCATTGAATGTAGAAAAATAAGGTTTTAAATAGATTCCTATATAAAAGTAAATATGTACATAGTCTGTAAATTGGTATATTTGAAATTCAATGATTTAATGGTAATTTAATTTTATTTTGTCATGGCATGTCTTCCTGGTGAAAAATTGCTAGTAGCCAAATGTTGTATCTACAACTAACTAGGTGTCAAAAGGAGTTGATAGTTTACTAATTGTGAGAAAATAACATCCTTGTTTGTAAAATTGCTCTCTAGATAATTTTCACGCTTCCTTCAGGGTATGTGGTTTTGGAAGTTTTCACTTGATTTCTGAAGATAAAAAAGTTGTAAAGTGACAAAATCCAATTGATTAAATGAATTATGTTCATTGAAGTGTGCCATTAAAAAAATAAAACATCCATGTTAATCTTACCCTTTAGAGAGCAAATTTGTTTAACCTAAGAATTATTTTCAAGTGGATATGTCCTAAACTTAGTCGTATTTTTGCATATTGCAAGTTATATTGTGGATAACGTCACTCCATCATTTTGGTATATTTTAAGTTAAGCTGTCTGTATGAAGGTACATGGTCACTATTTTGGTAACTATAGGTTACTGGTCATATATATGTGACCACTATTTTGGTAACTGTAGGTTACTGGTCATATTTACAGGTCACTATATTGGTAGCTGAAGGTTACTGGTCATATTTATGAGGCCACTATTTTGGTAGCTGTTGGTAACTGGTCATATTTAGGAGGCCACTATCATGGAAGCTGTAGGTTACTATTCATATTTGTGAGGCCACTATATTGGTAACTTTAGATTACTGTGAATTCATTTATTTTCGTGGGTATCAATTTTCGTGGATTGAGGAAACATTGCATTTTCGTGGATATTTTATTTCGTGGTTTTGCCAAAGTCTGCATACAAGCCTATAGAACATTTGTATTTCGTTGAACATTTGAATTCGTGGGTCACCTTTACTCATGAAATCCACGGAAATTGGTATCCCACGAATAATAATGAATCAACAGTACTGGTCATATTTGTGAGGCCACTATATTGGTAACTTTAGGTTACTGGTCATATTTGTGAGGCCACTATATTGGTAGCTGTAGATTACTGGTCGTATTATTTATGAGGCCACTATTTTGGTAACTGTAGGTTACGGGTCGTTGCTATCATTAGATCATATGAATGTTGTTATCACTAATAAAGTTTTGTTATATGATCGGTAGATACATTTAGATATGTGAGAATTTAAATGATAAAAATATAAAATTAGATGGAAATATCCTCTTTAAACAATTAGATGCATAGAAATAATGTCCACTCCTATTGTAGTAATGTCCTAGATTCCAGATCCTTACCTGATTAAAGTATAGATAGAGCATTGATTAGGTCACTGTAACGAATACATTCAAAAATTATTTACAATTAACCATACTTAACATTGTAGTATTTGTGAATATTAATTGTGAGGGGTCTATAAAGTTACACATAACTTTTGAGTTGTTACTACTACAATCTGATTAATCCTCATGCAATAGCTATGCTGTCACTATGAAATGCTTTAGTATGCATCACTATGAATTGCTTTAGTATTCTTCCCTGCGAAACGCGATAGTGTCTTGTAATAGTTCTTTTACCTTAATTGAAACTAAAACAAAAAAGACAAAAGTTATTATTGATAGTAAAAGTTTCTTTGAAAATTAACATTTCTGCTTTAATACCAAGTGTGTTCATACAGCATTGGAAAGAAAAGGGTAGATTGTGATATTCTCTGTCTCATTGATCCACACATATCCTTTTATTATATTGAAAGCTCAATGTTTGATGACTTGAAACTTTAATGTAGTGCTCTCCTGGGTGCTGCCATATTGGTTTTTGACGTTGTATTTCTCACACCAGGAGAGCATTTAGATACTTGGATATTTTTATGTTATTGAGTGTTTATAAATGTTTCTGTCCTGATATGTATCCAAGTTTTCATTTGTGATTCACATAATCTGAGTGACTGAGCTAGGTTTTAAGGCAATGCCAAATAGTTTATATTGAAGTTTTCATAAAATTGAAATAAAGTTTATTTGGTTTAATAAACAAATGACTTGTTTTCTGTTCTCATCACTTCAATATAAATAAAAAAAGATAAGGGTTAAATGTCAGTATGACAGCAACCCAAGTACTAAAGTTCATCCTAGTAAACATGTAGTAGTCACAGAAGACCCATAGGATTGCCCCTAAAAATGCGTTGAAAGTTTGAAGGATTTTTATGCAGTGTCACAGTTATATAACTGAAGATGTTTGTGTCTTGTATGATATTAAACTTTAAGTGCACATTTATATGTGAAGAAAATATTTTTGGGGTCAATTCAATTCAAAAACCTTTCAAATTTCTGTGCGTTGATGCAGAGAGGATACATTATAAATGTCTTGTTAGGCAGGAAGTCAGGTACAATGTTCTTTGCATAAAAATCGCATGAGAAAAATGAGAAATAAAGATTGATATTGTAACTGTTGCCTTCTTTAAGGGTTCCAGTCACATGATATTGTAACTGTTGCCTTCTTGAATTTGGGGGTTCCAGTCACATGATATTGTAACTGTTGCCTTCTTTAGGGGTTCCAGTCACATGATATTGTAACTGTTGCCTTCTTTAAGGGTTCCAGTCACATGATATTGTAACTGTTGCCTTCTTTAAGGGTTCCAGTCACATTGATCTACACTGCCAACACAGTTTTACTGATGATGTTTCACTGGGAAAAGCCCTGCCTTACACCTCTTCATGTTAACCATAGATTTATAAAATTATGCTGAAATTCAGTAATGTTATCCAAGCTGTTGCATGATAATGCTTGAAATCGTAGGGGTTAAGCAAACAGGATTACACAAAAATGATTTCTGCATGTTTGACTTCTAATAAGTAACACATGCTGTACTTCTTATAAAACAACACCCCCTGTCTAATCTCAACTTATTTTATAAGTAAACAAGTTTGGACTGATTTCGTCATATTTAATTTTTGTACACAAAAAAGTTAAATTGTCAAGGTAATTCAAATGATTGACTTAATTACTTTGACAAATACCAAAAGTATATTCTCAACACAGAAATTAGATTTAATTGGATCCCCTTTATAACAGTGCACAATAGAAGTTACGTACACAGCTGGTGATATTATTAAACCCTTTCACCGGTTTATTATAGTTCCTCTATAGTAGAGTTCCTCCAAAGAATAGAAAAGCTTTCGTCAATAAGAAATTATGAATAATTCAATTTTAGATGAGACGCTTTGTATTTCCTTTCTAAATCTGTCGTCTGTACTTTCAAATCGCATTTTTGAATACATAAGACCTCTACCTATATGAAAAACTTTAAAATTATCGGTTTTTGAAAAGAAGCCTTAATTAAAAGTAATTAGCCTAGCATTGGTCGTGTATAATCAGACAATTAGTTGGATGTTTGGAAGACTTTAATTAGAATCTTTTAGAGTAAAGGAATGTTTAAAGTGTGAAGTCATACATGAGCCTTGAAATCAATTTTAGTTCATTATTTAGAAAGACATTAACACCTTTTAAAATTTTATGTGTCTTTTTAACACACTAATTCAACAAAACAAATCTCTCCAAACATGATAAAACTTATGCTTTTCTGAGATAGCTGAGAATATGTCAAGCATATTTTTCATGTTTTTTTGTATCAGCTTAAAATCAAATCTATTGTGTGATTGATGATGAAGTAAAATATGCCCGAAAAAGTTGAATTAAGCACAGGTATTGATTTTTTCTTCAGAATTTTGTACAAAAAGTTCAAAATATGTATTGCTGTATATTGATGTACAGTAGTCTTCATAGATATTTTTGGAGATGCTAAAAAAAAATTCAACTTTCAGTAGATGTTAATAGGTTCTGTATTCTATCTAACATTTGGATTGCTCCTGATGCTGTAAGTTTAGGCAACAGTAATGTACCAATGTTTAAATCACATAATTTGATTAAGAAGATACAAGGTAACCATCAAAAACTCAGGGAATCACATAAACTCTAAAATGCTCCAGCCTTTGTGTGTCGTCAGGGTAAGCATATATATCCTGCTATACACCCACCATGAGCTTCCACACTCATTAAAAATGTCGTACCCTAGAATAAGAACAAAAGTCAGCCAAATCTGTCTTTTTATTCATATTGGTGATCAGGTCATTTTCTATTAATTATTTCTACCAATAAAAAATGACCAGCATACTATAGCCAATAGTGCCCTGAAAGTGGCATTCAACACCAACAATCAATTAATCTATTAAATCTTATAAGGAAATGTCTCAGTCTTTTCTGTACGTTCCTCAGAATGAATTTAAAGCTATATGAGTGATTGGCCT